GATTTCATCTTAACTTGGAAGTGCGTTATCTGAATCTTCAGACGATGAAAAAGGAGTTATAGCAGAAGATGTAAGCGCCGCACACTTTCTCCTTCCGTTTTTCTTCTTGTAATATTCTTTGACTAGCCCTTTCTTCTTTATCCACGAGTTTTTGGTCTACTTCTGCAAGATAGCCTTTACGTCCTGGCTCTTTCTACCGAAGTAAAAACATTCTGCCTTCATCCAACGTAATCATTTGTAAAGAATTTGGATGTGCAATATCATAGATAGTTCACATTATTTCTAAACTCCTCTTCAGATGCTTAAAAATATATTCACACTTGTTTGCGTTTTTTGTAATTCTTTCCCTCCGAATAATACAACTTAATAAGTCTTTGGGAACAGTGCTGGTTAGCTATTGTCGGATTTCTTACTTTCTCCCAAAATATCATGCACTCACGAACCACAAGTTAAGCAGTTGCACTTACTGTTAATTTTACTCCCCATATGTAATGAAATAAAACTTCAAGCAGTTGTATATTTGATGGTAAACTGTGTCCGGTTTACCATCAAATAAACAACTGCTGCTTGGTGTTTTATATTAATAATATCTCCTATTCAAAACACATGCTCGTCGGCACTGCATATGACACCCGCGAATGACATTATGTTGAGATTAGCGATCTAAACACGCGTGGCTCGGTCGATTAACGTCCACGTACTGTTATTCTCGGAGCTGACTCACCTGTGGGTGATAGGTCTGGACTCGCGCTCAAGGCGGCGCGGGTTAGAACGCTCCCATCTCAACAAAATTTTGTGTACGCATGTTTTAAGGCCATTCAAACAAAATTAGAAGGGCGAGCGTCCAAAAATTTTTAAGTTGAAAAACAAGGGATACCTGAGGCTCACATTGCAGTAAGTTGCGATGCCAACACACAAAGTCTTCTTCATTCTAGCCAGAACATATCATGCAAGAAAATTAACAAATGTACCTTTGACCAGAACAGTTAAATCGAGTGACAAATTCCCCAACGCTACGTTTTCTTCAATCTCGTCTACCAATGTTCCCTCCAACGGAATCTGTGCTTTGAAATCGCACCTTCAAAGAGAATGTTTTGGCCCGATGCAATCGGTTCGTTCCCTTTCATTTGGAAGCCTACCTGCCGCCTTGGTAGTCGTTCATGGTCGAATGAATCGATAATTCAGAGGTCGCAGGTGTCGCGTGAGTAAAATAGTAATCGAATCTCTGGGATGACTCCTTTACTTCGATCCACTGCGTGTTGGAAACATACGAGTGCTTCGAGTTAGACGATATAACAAGCATTTGGAAATTTGGTCTGAAAAAATAAAACAATATTTTCAAGAGATGGTATTGGATTGTACTAAACTAAAGGCCCTACGAGAGCATGTACTTTCTTGCATTATTTATAAATTTGCAGTTTTCAAAAATTCAGAGAGTTCAACGAAAATGAATCCTGCACCGTTCTTTTAAACGCCCCTTCTTCTGTCTGTGGTAAAAAAAGTTGAAGAAAAAGAATTGATACAATTTGATTGATTTCATGTACACAAAAATTACTTTCTTAATAAAAAAAATGTTCATGATTTTTTTAAAGATCCGATTTTTAGAACAGATTTCATTTAATTAAAAAATCTCTTTCTTTCATATTGTACTTTTGCAATATTTAACGCAACGATATATAAAACGTTTTGCATTTTTCGAAAATACATAGAGATCGAAACTCACATAGAGACCGAGAACGGGGCTAGCACCACTTTTATACAGTCCGTTGATGCGAATACATGCGATGAGAAAACTTATAGAAAAAATTGGAGCCGTTTTCGAGAAAGAAGTTTTAAAAATACCTGCTTGTATTTCACTCAAAATTATGCGAAAACCAATATTTTCGGAAAATTGTACAAGATCTTATTTCAAGATCTGTCTTTAAAGAACAGATTTCATTAAACCAAAAATCTGTGTCTTCTATATTGGAGTTAAAGAAAGATGACGAATTAAATTTTAAAATTAAGCAATTTTATAAAAAATTAGGGGTATTGACGAAAATGAGACCTGCACCATTCTTTTAAGCCTCTTTTAAACTAACCGAGGACAACGTTTAATAAAATAAATTGGAGCTATTTTGAGAACACGTTCAAAACGTAATTGAGCATTGATATAAAGTTTCCTCTCCCATAAAAAATGGATTTTTTTTTCAAACTCGGAGCCTCAGTCAGATTTATCTTGGAATATCAATTGCGGAGAAAATCATTCGTACGGTTTATGTGACAGCGTTGATCACCTAAACGATGAAAGGAACGACGGACGGACAGACGGAAAGGGAGCTGTTTTGCAGTCAAACAATTGTTCCATATTAAGTGCCCATAAAACGCGGATACTGACTCCACATCGTTTAACAGAAAGTAATTTATTGCTTTGAGGGTTATGAATTATTCATTTTTTGTATACGAGGGCCCCACAATACATGTTTATTTGTTTAGATATCGCCTCTTTTCTTCCTCAGCATCGCAATAATTTGGCTTTGCTACGTATGTAAGTACGTAATAAGGGAACACAGTAAAAATGAGAACGGAGAGTACTTTACTCCTCACAAGAAGAGGGCTCATGCAAGACCAACCACAAATCTATAGTGATTGGTCTTGGCTCACGTTGTGATGTAGAAGTTCTCTTTAATTTCGGCCACACAAAATGTGGACTGAAGGCCAACTCGGTCCAAGTAGCGTGTGATAAAATGCCACGTCAACTCAGAGATTTAATATTTTATATGCATTCATTTGGAGTGAAAGTGAGATAAGTATCGATTGTTTTTAATGTGATTCGTTTTGACAGATGTATAACTCAAGCTCGTGATAACAATAGCGTATTGAGATGTTTATTTTTGTGAAATATCACAAATAAAACCTACCTATTTTACTTTCTCGTATACGTACGTATAATAGGAGTAAAATACGTAGTATAGAGAGTGTTGTGTAATCTGCGGCTAAAAAAGACTTTTTTAGACCGAAAACTCATTATGGGACCCTGATACAGAAAAAGTGAATAAATGCTGGTCTAAAAGGTAGTGAATTACTCCCTCTTAACACGTCAGATTTCATATATTGTTGGTCCTTGATATCGAGAAAATGTTTTTTTAAAACGTCCTTCCGTCTGTCTGGTGTATGTGAAAACAACTATCCGTAGGATTTTTCTCAAATGGAATAAAGCCCTGTCGATCTGGCCTCACTCGAAGCTCTACGATTTTAAAACATGTTCATTAATTTTTGGGTGTACATTACATGACGCCTACGGACATTTTCGAAGTTTTCTGAAATATGGCAAAGTTTTTCTTTAAATTTCTACAAGAATAGACTGAAATGCTCTACATTCTGGCAAGAATAGAATTATCCTTTATAAGATCTACTTTTGCAAGAATAAATCTTATAAAGGTGGCAGAGGTCCGATTTTCAATGTTTACTCTGAATTTTCGAAAATTGCAAAAAGTCTATTTTTTCGGCGTCTTCCTACAACGACAAAACTTAAGATAGAGATATGGTTTTTCACGTGAAAATCTTTCTCCATAATTAGTTGTTTCGTTAAGGTCATGTACATTTTTTTGTTGAAAATTTCAGTAGTTGAAGAAACTTCTCTTATTTTTTTACCTGCACCTGCACCCTTGGTGCAAAACACTTAAGCACCTCAAATCACGAATTCTCTGATGCGACAACATATTAATTAAAAGTAAAAAAAAACTTTGAAAGGAAATTATTGAATACATGACTGACCTTTAAGCTGGAAATCAGAGAATATTTTAAACATATCATGTTGTCGCATATAGACTTGCGCCATTGTCGCACACGTAAGCTTCCGCGGCTCGATTCCATCAATTCTAGGCTATCTGGGAGACGCCGCCTCTCCCAGATAGCCAAGAATTTATTGCGCCATTGTTGTCTTCATTTTTCTATGGAATCAAAAAAATACCAATAAAAAGCATATATACTCAGTTCACTTCGTAATGCATATATCACCATAGCAGAGGAAGGATCTAAAGAGGATGTTAGTAAGCCTCTTCTCTCGTCACAGATGCGTAGCTGTATTCAATGGATATAACCCGTCTTAGGTAGCTCAGGCATCAATTGATGTCACTGCAGTGGTCCCAGGGTTTGAGTCCCGACGCTTGCAGGCTTTTCGATGCTAGCTAGATACCTAGTTCGAATTCAGTTGCTGTCTGGAGGAGAATTCTAGCGTCTGGCTGCTCTGATCGGTAGAGCGTGTGTGAGATACCTGGTCGAGGAAAACCCGGGAGCCGATGGGAAGGTCGGCGCCGGATCTCGCATCCATCGGGGGAAGGGCGCCGCCACCATCCGCGATAAAAAATGCTCTAAGCAGTTGAGGCCCGAAAACAGGAATCAGTCAACAAATGCATACGAGATGAAACGAAGTGGTCGTTAACCTGCGGACTTATAGGCACTAAAGCAATAGAAATATGGCAGAAACATCGACAATGCAAAAATAGGAATTTAAAAGGGCACCAAAAGCTCTAAGATAATACTATTTATTAATCTAAACAGTCGAAAATCGCTGTGATCATTGATCGCACAGCAATGTCATCTAATCCACACTCAAGAATGGCAATGCACAACTAAATACTCCTCCAAATTGTCAAACGAGAACTGATGTCCATTGTCTGTGTGTTATTATCACGAGGGGGCAAGAAGTCAGCGACCCAGTCTCTGCTGGAGATCTTAAATTCTGGGATCGATACTTTCGACCATGGAAGAGGAGGCTAAATGGCCTCAGCCTCGCCACAAATAAAGACATTCATATATTTATTGATATTAACCACATAGAAGGTGAATTATGAATGCATGTAGAAATGAGCATTTTGGCAAGGATTGATAAAATATCCAAATTCATAATGTGTAAGTAATAAATAAAAATATATAAAAAGTAAATACAGAACTTCGCAGAAGCTCCTGCGCTAACCCCCACACGAATGTAGCGTGTGTTTCCCTACACCCTCAGGCGAATGGCAGGCTCGCTGCTCTTCTGGGTGAATGAGGCGCATAGAGCGGCGCTTCGCGTGACTCAACGCCTCCCCTCGCGTGCGCGCGTGACCCACTCCGCAACAGGCGGCTTCCTCCCTCTCCAAAACTACAAATATTTTCGAAAAATGTACACGTTCTTATTTGAATATCTTCTATTCAGCAACAGAAATTTTTTTTATAAAAAATTAATTTGAATATTGTACTTTTAGAACAGCGCAGAAAAAACATTCAATTTATGCAGTTTTCGAAAAATGAAGGATTTCAACGAAATTGACACCAACGCCATTTTTAAGTGTCCTTTTCTCTATCCGAGGATAAAGTTTAATTCGAAAAATTTGAATCCATTTTTGAGCAAAATTTGAAAATGTAAATGAGGCTCAAAGGGCCTTTATTCCCTTTAAATCGATCAAGGAACATCGATTCTGGAAAACAATCGTCTGAAGGCAAGGCGTCGACCACAGACGAACGGAACTGGAGAGAAAACATACGTTTTGTCTTCAATTGATTTTTCGCTATGAGGAACTCTTTAACCGCGGGTTCTGACTACAAGACGTATGAGAGGAAGTAATTTACTACATATAAGAATAATATTTATTCCCTTTTTTATTACTGGGGGTCGGCAAAAAGTTTTAAACCTAAAAGTCGTTGTTTCCCGCGGTACGATTATACTTTCTCTTCTTCCGAAGCAAGTCTTTTGTACTGCCGTTCCCTGATTAGTGCGTTCGCTGTCGCAGAGAAACCTCCCTGGGAGTCTCCTCCTGAGCAGTCAGAGTCGGCGCCCGGCGCGGGAGGACCGAGCGGTCCCCGGGGCCCCGCAAGTCAAGGGGCCGATGGTGGGGGACAACTCCAGAAAATCTGATTAATATTTAATCGTTATAAGTCGCGGTACAGTAGTCTGATATTTTATAAAATTTTCAATTAATTTTTTACCTTAAATAGCTAGTTACGGTCATTTCTTATAAGGTAGGACTCATTCCAATATATGTGTTTCAGGTAAGGAGAGTTACATGGAAAAATGTAGGTAATCAAATGATACTAACATTAAAATAGGTTCTACTGAAATTCATATTTATTATTTCACATATTTAACAAGTGATTTCATTAAACACTAACTAAATGCAACAAAAATGTTCAGCGTTTTAAGCTCACATTTTTTGACCAGTCAATATTTTTACTTAAAACTATTATTTAAAATATATTTCCCCAATTTTTTTATATCTAAAACTTAATTTTTGTTATTTGTTGAAGTAAACTAACTGATGTAGTAGCTTGATTCAGCTTTCCCATTTTGAATTGGAGGGGAGGGGGGGGCTGCGTTTCAGCTCTTCCGCGGCGAGTGTGGCTGTGCGAGAGCCCCTCCAAACGCAGGAGTGGGCGCCAGGGCGAAGTGGGTCACGTGGTCGATGGCGAGGAATTTCGATCGACGCTCGTGCCAACGTCGCCCGCCCCCTTAGAGACCGGCAACGCAAACACTGCGCAGGGACCGCGAGGCGCGGTGGGGTGTGGGGTTGAGCTTTGCACGGCCAGAATTTACTTTCACAGTAGAATCCCCCTAATCCGAAATTTCCGATAATCCGAACGAAATCTGGGATAGAGAAAAAAATAATGTAAATAAAGTGCAGATTTGTACTGTAAAGAAAGGATTTTATAATTACTGTACAATTGAACAACGACTTATTGAAATAAGTTGTCGCTTATTGAGCTAGTATCTACGGCACATGTTTACGAACCAGTAATTTTCATCGAGAGGAACTTACAAAATCCGTAGTATTTTGCTGCAAGGAACTGAAACTGCTTGATGATCCGATTACTACGGCACGTTACCATTTTCATACATCGCACGATACATTGAAATGCGTCTGGTAATCCTAAAGATGTATCTGTGGTACGTACGGTGCATTTTTTCGGATAATCCTAACATTTCCGAATGCGAACACATCACACACCCCAATTGGTTCGGAATGCAGGGGTTCTACTGTATAATAACACAATTTTATTTTGATAAATCATGATTCATCATCGAGAGTCATTTTCTGCGACAAAGAACGAGATTTTTACTGATTTTCATTCTCCGAAATGAATTGGAGTAAATTAAGCTCTTGTAACATAATGCGTATATTTTGTTGACGATTAACACAAACATCCATGTTCTACAGGAAAATTAATTGAGAAATTGCAGAATATGAATATCTTGTGGAAGTGAAGCTAGGTTGTGTTACTGACCTTTGTGAGCTAATCTGTAGAAAAGCTGCAGAACAAGAGAGCACAGCATATCTACCTGATTATGGGTTTAAACACTTCATATCTTTGTCTGTATTTTGTATCGTGAAAATAGAGGAAGAGATGATTAAGCATTTAGTGAACAACCTTGCAAGCAATGATCTAATTCGATTATTTTTGCCGAAGGCTTTTTATACTTAGCCTTTCAAAATGAATGCTCGAGATATCTCAATTTATTCAGTGCCGAGAGTCAATGACCCGTGACCCTTCGAGTCTGTTCGCTACAGCCCTTTCAGGAAAAGGCAAACACCGCAAGTCCAGCGCGGAGGCAAGTTTTCAATCGCCTCAGACGTAGAGAGTAACGAGGAAACTGTTGGAAACAATTCTTTAAATAGTCTCTGCAATTAATTGTGTCAATCTTAAAATATGAAACGATTCTGCGTCAATTATTGTCTGTAATATTTTATTTCTTTCTTTTTGCGTGTTGCACGCTGTTTCAAATCTGAATCGGTATTTTCGCATTAGATCTTGTTTTTTTTTCTCTACAAGACAATATATGTTTAAGACATATGTGGTCTTTATTAGATGTTAATGCTAATACAAAAAATCTAGTGGTGCTACAGAATGGCACAGACTCACCCGTATTAGTTTTGTTTCCTTTGGTCTCTGCTAGATACTCGTTCTTCCTACATACTCTCGCCAGCTGCCATCTATCGCCGCCCAAAGTACATTTTTTTTACGTTTTCTTAATTTTTCGGTTTCCTAGTTGCAGTGTGAAAATATTATTTTACGATTATTAAAGAAGAGTAAAACACCGTCCTAAATGGCAATTATCTTTGAAAAATTTCTATTCGTTTTTCAGAAAATGGCTTTTAAGCGCTACTGCAAATTTGAAATTTGAAGCTCTTTTCTACAGAACATTTTTGAGTTTTCAAAAACCTTCATTTGAAGTCATTTGAATCACTTTAAATCACAAATGCAGTACTATTTACAAATTGCTGGAAATGTGCATATAATGGCATGAAAGATGTTTCAAAAAATTACATTTGTGTAATTTTTAAAAACAAAAAATACCTCAAAATGGACTTAACGTCATATTAAATAGTGCAATTAGCACTGTCCTTTCGAAAAGTTTTAAGTAAAATTTGATCTGTTTTTGAGAAAATGGCGTTTGAGCGTTTCTGAAAATGCGACATTTTAGGCTCATTTTTACAAAAAACTGTTGAGTTTTCGAAAACCTTTTTGACACTATTTAAGCACACGTAATTACACAGCAGCGCGGCCCGTTTAAATACAATAATGTGAACAAATTGCCGCTAATGTAAATATTAACAATTTCAGTTGGAAACTCTCAGGAAAAATCTGTATCTTAAATTTTGTAGTTGTAGGAAGTTGCCGAAAAAAACTCAGTTTTGCAATTATCAGAAATTCTGTTATCAGTGAAAATCGGACCTATACCAACTTTATGAGATTATATTACTATATTCGTAAAAGAAATTTGAAGATACAATTTGGAGCCATTTTTGAGAAAATTTTGAAAATCTCCCAGAAGCTCTGTATAAATTACCCCCAAAAATAATAAATATTTTTCAAAATCGCTGAGCTTCGAGTCAGGCCAAATGACCAGGGGTTTATTAAGTTTGGAAAAAACAGACCCCATTGTTTAGGCGCTAGTGTTGTTCACATACCCCAGACAGACTGACGGACGGACGATTTGCCGTCAATCGAATTTTCGGTATCAAGAACCCACAAAACATGTATTTTCGCTACATCACGTGTTTGAGGATCTTTTTAAATTTAAAAACGGATTTATCCACTTTTTCGTTACTAGGCCCGGCAATGAATTTTTTTCTGCCGCAAATCCGCCGTTTTTTCGCTCCGCTTTACATAACTTTCCCTATACTACGCACATTACTCCGTATATACCTATGCATACGGGAAAGAAAAATGACCCAAATATATTTTGCTACGTATGTGGTGTTGACGTTGCCAGGGCGAAGATCATACATTGCGAGAGCAGCATTCGGGAAGGCCGGCTATTACGCGTATTTTGATGTGAAATTCAGACACCTTTGCTCCCCTGCTATGGCGTCGTGCATGTGTGAAGTACGCTTAGACGATTGAACAAGGGAGTCATAAAAGCAATTACTCTTTGTTATACCTACACTCTGTGATCAAAAGTACCCGAACACGTAGCTGAAAATGACTTCCCAGTTCGTGGCGCCCTCCATCGGTAACATTGGAATTCAATAGGGTATTGACCCACCCTCAACCTTCATGGCAGCTGCCACTCTCCAGGCGTACTTTCAATCAGGTGCTGGGAGGTTTCTTGATGAATGGCAGCTCATTCTTCACGGTATGCTGCACTGAGCAGAGGTATCGACGTAAGTCGGCGACGCCTGGCACGAAGTCGGCGTTCCAAAACATCCCAAAGGGGTTCGATAGGATTCAAGGCAGGACTCTGTGCAGCCCAGTCCATTACAGGGGTGTTATTGTGGCGTAACCACTTCGCCGCAGTCCGTGCAGTAAGAACAGGTGCTCGATCGTGATGAAAGATGCAATCGCCATTCCTGAATTGCTCTTCAACAGTGGGAAGCAAGAAGGTGTTTAAAACAGGTGTTGTTGGCCTGTGCTGTGATAATGCCACACGAAAGAACAACGGGTGCAAGCCCCCTCCATGAAAAACACGACTACACCGTAATACCATTTTGGACGAGTCCGGATACTTTGGATCACATAGTGTATGGTGGCAAAAATATGTAAAATAAGTCTAATATAAAATATTAGACTTATTTTATATTTCAGAGGTAAATGGGTATCAAGATTGCTGGGACATCAATATAACAACTGACTTTTGTTATTTTACCTATTACACCACAGACACCCTGATGACAACACTGCATCACAAAAATGAACATTCGCAACTTTGAATATCATATGTTTGAATAAAAAGCTCCATAGCCAATTATTTAGCCAACTATGCTCTAAATGAACGAAAACTTTACTTAACTTATGGAAACATTATTTATAAAATTACTAACCCTTAATAACGCAGTAATGTTTTGTAAAGTATCGCTATAGTAATTTGTTAGAAACATATCACTAAATATTTTTAACAGAACACTACGGGGTGGGTCGAGGCTTCTTCCCTTCGTTCAAGTGAACTCGCAAACGTTTGATTTGGACTGTTCTTTATCAGGAAATGTTTGTCTTTAGTTATCCCAAAACTGACCGAAACGACAAAAACGCTGATAGGGGATACGAAAACCTTAGATTACATACAACGTTTACTACAATTTCTGAGCGATGAAATAAAAAAAGCTACTCAGAAATTCTATGGTGAACACTTGTAACTCGTAAATATTATTTGAATCAGGTAGGTACCTACCTTGAATCAAGTAAGTAGATATTAAAACCTATGAAAGGGCATTAAAATTGACGGAATATGCTAAAAAATGACTCATTAATCAAAATCCTCAGAAAATGCAAAAACAAAAAAAGACGAAAAAGGATAATTTCCTTTTGTCATATACAATTAATGCCTATACTAAACGGCATCGTTCTAAAGTGAAAAGAAAAAATGACATTTCATTGAAATGTTGAGACTTATGAAATATACTCTCAAAAATCAAAATTTCCATCTGAAACTCCCAAAGCCTCGAGTTCGTTGAAATGGAAGGAGGAATAGCTAGTTTAGAGAAAATTGGCTGAATAGTTTACGCGCTAGCGTTTACCACGTTAGGGCAGGTGAACAGACGCTTTGCCATCATTCGATTTTTCGGAAACAAAAGCACACAAACCATGGATTCTGGCTACAACACGTGATTGGAGAATGTAATTTACTATATACAGGAAGAGGATTTTTCTATTTTTTAGTTAACTTTCTAATTAATGAATTGCAGGCGTAGCAAGTGTAAAGGGGGTACCTTTACCTTTACCTTAATTACACTAAATGATTTTCTTTTTAATTAAACAAAGTGAGCATATTATTTTTATCAACTTAATCACTCACACGTGGTTTCTTTAATTTTTTCAGCCTAATATTTTTAAAATTTCAAATCCCTGGTGGGGGAATGAATTAATCCCATCTTGTATATTTTCGGGATTCAGCAATACATTAAAGATTTACTTTTATCGAATTGACGATATATCGGCCCGAAAATTGATGAATTTATCGATGTTTAAAAATGTTTTCATGGTAAAAGCACTGGCATTAGATTAGATTCACCTTTGTGTATTGGAATTCGTCCTCTTGGTAGACAATATTAAGGATTTCGTTTATAATGTCATTTTGAATAAGTTTTTGTTTTGCTTGCACTATTAATATCGTGCCCTATAACGATACCTTCATAAGGGGGATGATAACTTTTGAACTAAAATTTTTAGCAGAATTTTGTTAAATCGCAATTCCTTCTCACTCAATTTCTTTGAACTACCTAAGTACCCATTTTTAAAATAAATATTCCTTAACCTCGACTTCAACGCGTACTCTACACGCGAAATTTCGAGGCGTTCTAAAGTGAAAAATGATTAATGATTTGGTGGCATTCATTCAATGGCAATACTTTTTGCGGCAAGCGATTATTTTAATCGACAATTTTTATCACATTTATCAATAAATAAAACTTTGTTTAATTTTCCCATCGAAGTCACGCGAACGAGGGTTATGGAAAAGTTCCAAAATACTGAACCGTTCCGTAGCTCAACCTGCCCTTGAGAGAAAATATCATTGGCACTATTACATCTTGAGCCAGCATTTCGAAATAAAGAAATTTGCAACATATCTTTATAAACTGTTTCCTTGCTAGCCAACAAGTACATAGCAATGCAGGTCGTGCTGTTTAGTAGAGAAGATAAAAATAAATAAAATAGCTTCTATTCATATTCGCCTTAAAACTGCTTCTCTCGTTATTAAATTTACCAAATAATTAGTTTATATGATAATAACACCTAAGCGAATTAAAATATTGAAACGGGAGTTCTAATGACTATTTAGAATAAAAAGGAAAATTTGGACGTTTAAAAAACTGCCATAGTTGCTGTAAGACAGCTATTGTTAGTGCAATAATCCCACGAAATATCAATAAACGTTACAGCTTTTTTTTAAAGAAATTGTAAAGACAATCATTATTCCCCGTCGCACCGTTTATCGCCTCGAGGCGCTATCGAGTCCGCCATATCACATCTGCCCTCTGCGTTAAGCGTAGGAAGCGAACAATCGAAGCGAGACATTGCGAACCTCTCTTTTCAGTATACTTGTGTGCGGAGAGCGAATGGAATGAGTGCAAAAAATGGGTGTGATTATGTGATGATAACTTCTATTATTCCATTAAATATCTTCAGAACGGAAGTTGATAGCACCGGTTTGATTGTGGAATTTTGTATTACGTTTAAAGAGGTTTTAGAGGATACTGTAAAACATTTGCAAATTTATAAACAATTTCCAACTTTTGCAGATCTAAAGAAGGAAGAGCCTTCCGATGTCATAGAGCCGAAAACAGAGACTTAACGATTTTTCAACAATTTACAATTTTATAAACAAATTCGAAATATGCGCTTGAACGGCCGGAAAAGATCCGCAAATTGTGCCTGAGATGAACATTTTAATATAGCAGTTTGACTGAGTTACAAATTGATTGCTAAAAGATAGTATAATTGTTGCTAAAATGCTAAATATTTGCTGGTCTGCAATTCTGGGCGGAAGCCCCCTGCTCACAAATCTTTTTTCGCTATGGCGTACGTGCAAGAGAAATCCGTCCTGCGACAGGGAAAGATGATATTTCCGCCTCATAATACGTAGACAATCGAGGGCCCCGCCCTCGGAGAACATCGTCTTTCCCGCCCTGTGGGGTTTTGCCCCAATCACATAGGCACTAAACTCCGTAGCGGTTGGTCAACGCACCCTTCCTCCGAATTGAAGGGTGTCCACGTTTGTCTGGACGGTTGGGAAGATACGTAAAAGGTAAATTTACGTATTTCGGTATTTATTAATTTATTTTTATGGACGTACACTTTTTCTAAAAGAAGATAACACCACTTTACCTAACTGCGTCACATATAGTCTCGAAAATCGTCGTCTTGTCACGGAAATACCAACCAACCAACCTTACAGATAATGCGAGAAAGTATGTACTGTTTTAGATGGATTTCACTCTCTTACTGATTCTCTTGAAATGCACATTTTCCTGTTCCAGCTGTCTGGCCTTCTTATTGTAATCGTCGGCGCAGTGGTCTTCGCAGCAATCGATGACTATCGCACCTTCATGGAAAGTCGAGTGCTGGGCCCGCCCATCGTCCTCATCGTGGCGGGTCTTATCATTTTCGTGATCGCCTTCTTGGGGTGTTGGGGCGCTCTGCAAGAGAGCTGCAACATGTTAATTGCAGTAAGTACACTGCGTTTCAAGTAGCAGCCGCGCTTTATATTTCCTTGCTTTAAAAATGATTATAACTTCTCAGTGGCACGCTGCCATGAGCATCCAGGCGGGGAGAGGTGGCTCAGGGCATCAACTGATGTCACTGCGGTGCCTCTGACCGGGAGGTCCCAGGTCCCGACTGTGGCAAGATTTTCGACACTAGCTTTTCAGCTAGCTCGAATTCAGTCGCTGTCTGGAGGGGAATTCTAGAGGCCGGCTGCTTTGATCGGTAGTTTTCCCTTGTTTCTCCGATCAACACTAGGCGAATGCCGGAGCAGTATCCTAACACACGGGGCACGAAGAAATTTAGATTCATCATAAGCATGAGCAAATATTCTTTGTGAACCTTCATTAAAATATTTATATACTATTTTCTTCTTGAAATTCTGATTTTTTCTTTTTTCTTTTTCAGTATGCTGTTCTGCTGCTCTTGATTTTCATTATAGAGTTGGCAGTTGGAATTACTGCCGCAGTCGTTAGAGATGATTTTGGTGACACAATGGAAATGGAAATGAAAAAATCCATGGAACGTTACAAAGATGAAGAGGTACAGAGAGTAGCCTGGGACACGTTGCAAGAAAAGGTAAGCACATCACTTCTAGGTATGGATTCAGCAAAACGAATTTAAATGTTACATTATCAATCTGGAAAATGGCATTCATAAAATAAAAATATGAGCCCCTTAAATACCAAGCGGTGCAATTCTATTTTTAATTAGTCCGTTGATAACATCATGATCAGCAAGTAAGCGTTCTAATAACTGCCCAAAGGATGTAGTTGTATTTATGCAATGTATATAGTTATGGACCAACGACATGAGCTGAGTCTGACAATTTCGTTGGCTCTCCCCTTAACTTCAAATAATTCAAATCAACCAATCATCGTCCTTCGAGCTGCTCCAATTCCTCTGCTATCTTCGGTTACTTTCTCTATGCCTGTCATTTATTTCTCTCTTTCACTGAATTGTCTCTTCTTTATTCATAATAATTGAGAGAATAATATTTCTATCTCGACTCTGGATGAAAATAATTTCTCCAAAATATCCCCAAACATTTCCCCGTCCAATCATTTTCCCCACAACAAAAAAAATCCCCATTTTGGGGACAAAATTCCCCAATATGGCAACTCTGCAACGATAACTGATGCATACTTTGGCCGCAAAAATTAGTTTATTGTAACATGCACCTGCTGCGACCTTCTGTTATCAGTGCTGCGTTGTCAAACAAACAATGTATGCACACACGTTATGCAAATCAGCATTCTTGATACTGTTAGCAACAAAATGTAAAGGGATAGTAAAATGTAATAATTAATTAAAATATTGTTATATTCATGAAAACTACTCGTTTTTACGCGAATTACTCGTTATTCCCGCACCTTACCATGCAAACCGAAATAATCAGTTCGTTTTCACATATAATTCAAATGACGCAGTTTACAGTAGATTTAATTCTTAAATAATATAAACCGTGATATATCTTTTCAAGATCCGACTGCCTCCAAGCACTTCTCAAATTACGTTCACGTGGTAACCGCTCCTCAAACGAGCGAGAAATTCGAATTTACCATTGGCATTTTTTTCAGTTTTCGAAAATGCAGGGAGTGCGCCGAAAATGGGACCAGCTCCACTGACTTTACCGTTCTTTGCTAAATATGAAAAACTTAGAGCCATTCTGATTATATATATAGTGTCATTGATTGTGTTGGTGTAACTGATTAAACTGCGTCATTTGAATATATGTGAAACAAACTGATTATTTCGGTTTGCTGTAAGGTGCGGGATAACGAGTAATTGCGTAAAAACGAGTAGTTTTCATGAATATAACAAATATTTTAATTATTAATTTACATTTACTATCCCTTTAACATTTTTGTTCTAACAGTATCAAGAATCTGATTTGCAGTAACGTGTGTGCATACATTGTTGTTTTTGACAACGCAGCAACTATAACAGAAGGTGCCGCAGCAAGTGCAATTTAACAATAAACTAATTTTTGCGGCCAAAGTATGCTCAGTTATCGTTGCAGATTGCCATATTGGGGACATTTTGTCCCAAATGGGGATCTTTTTGTGTTGTGGGCAAAATGATTGGACGGGAAATGTTTGGGGATTTTTGGAGAATTATTTCATTCCAGCAGCGAGATAGAAATATTATTCTCTTCAGATTATTATGAATAAAGAAGAGACAATTCAGTGAAAGAGAGAATTAATGACAGCATAGAGAAGTAACCGAAGATAGCAGAGGAATTGAGCAGCTCGAAGGACCATGATTGGTCTTGATTTGAATTATTGAAGTTAAGGGGAGCAGCCAACGAAATGTCAGGACTCAGCTCCATGTCGTTTTGGGTCCTAATATCATTACATTGCATAATAGCAACTACATCCTTTGGCAGTTTATTAGAACGCCTTACTTGCTGATCATTACTTTATCAACGGACTAATTTAAAAATAGAATTGCACCCCTTGGTATTTAAGGGGCTCATATTTTTTTTATGAATTGCCATTTTCCAATTGATAATGTAACATTTAAATTCGGTTTTGCTGAATCCATACCTAGAAGTGATGTTGCTTACCCTTGTTCGCAACGTGTCCCAGGCTACTCTCTGTACCTCTTCATCTTTGTAACGCTTCCAATGGGATTTTTTTCATTTCCATTTCCTTGGTGTCCACCAAAATCATCCTCTAAACGACCTGCGGCAGTAATTCCCAACTGCCAATCTATAAATGAAAAATCAAGAGGCAGCAGAACAGCAATACTGAAAAAGAAAAAAGAAAATAATCAGAATTTCAAAGAAAGAAAATAGTATATAAATATTTTAAATGAAGGTTTCACAAAGAATAATTTGCTCCATGGCTTATGAATGAATTAAATTTCTTCGTGCCCGTGTGGTTAGGATACTTGCTCCGCGCATTCGCCTAGTGTTGATCGGAGAAACAAGGCGGAAAAACTACCGATCAAAGCACCGGCCTCTAGAATCTCCCTCCAGAAGCAGCGACGTGAATTCGAGCTAGCTGGAAAGCTATGGTCGAAATCTTGCCACAGTCGGACCTGGGACGCTCCCGTCAGAGGCACCGTCAGTAGACATCAGTTGAATGCCTGAGCCACCTCTCCCGCCTGGATGCCATGGCAGCGTGCCACTGGAGAAGTTATAAGATTTTAAGCAGGAAATATAAAGCGCGGCTGCCTACTTGAAACGCAGGTACTTACTGCAATAACATGTTGCCAGCTCTCCTGCCAGAAGCGCCCCACACCCCACAGAAGGCGATGACGAAAATGATAAGACCGCCAGATGAGGACGATGGCGGCCAGCACTCGACTTTCCATGAAGTGGCGATTAGTCATCGATTGCTGGCGAAGACCCACTGCTCCGACGATTACAATAAGAAGCCAACAGCGGAACAGGAAATGTGCATTCAAGAGAAATCAGTAAGAGAGTGAAATCGCATACTAAAACCAGTACAGACTTTCCTCGCATTATCTGTAAGGTTGGTTGGTTGTATTCCGTGACAAACGAACGATTTTCCGAGACTATATGTGACGGAGTTTAGTAAAGTGGGTTATCTTCTTTTAGAAAAAGTGTAACGTCCAGAATAAAATAAATTAATTAAATACGGAAATACGTAAATTTACCTTTCATTACGTATCTTTCCCAACCGTCCAGACAAACGTGGCACCCTTCAATCCGAGGAGGTCGTTGACCAACCGCTACAGAGATTTAGTGCACTATGTATTGGGCAAACAACCCACAGGGCGGGAAAGACGATGTCTCCAGGGCGGGGCCCTCGATTGTCTACGTATTATGAGCGAAATATCATCTTCCCCTGTCGCAGACGATTTTTTGCACGTACGCCATAGCGAAAAAAAGATTGTGAGCAGAGGCTTCCGCCCCAGAATTGTAGACCAGCAAAATATTTAGCATTTTAGCAACAATTATACAATCTTTTAGGCAATACAATTTGAACTCAGTCCAAACTCTATATTAAAATGTTCATCTCAGCACAATTTGCGAATCTTTTCCGGCCGTTCAAGCGCATATTTCGAATTTGTTTATTAAAATTGTAAAATTGTTGAAAAATCGTTAAGTCTCTTGTTTTCGGCTCTATGACATCGGAGGCTCTTCCTTCTTTAGATCCGCAAAAGTTGGAATTGTTTAATAAATTTTCCAAATGTTTACCAGTACCTCTAAAACCTCTTTAAACGTAATACAAAATTCCACAATCAAACCGTGCTAATCAAACTTCCGTTCTGAAGATAATTTAATGGAATAATAGAAGTTATCATCACATAAATCACAACCCATTTTTTGCACTCATTCCATTCGCTCTCCCGCACAACAAGTATACTGAAAAGAGAGGTTCGCATGTCTCGCTTCGATAGTTCGCTTCCCCTACGCTTAACGCAGAGGGCAGAGGTGATATGCGGACTCGATATGCGCCTCGAAGGCGATAAACCGGTGCGACGGAGAATATATGATTGTCTTTAACAATTTCTTTAAAAAAAAGCTGTAACGTTATTGATATTTTCGGCGATTATTTGGCACTAAACATAAGCTGTCCTTACAGCAACTATGTGCAGTTTTTTTAAACGTCCATAACTTTCCATTTTTTAATTCTAACGAATAGTCAATAATGGACAACTAAATCCCGTATTCAATCTATTGTCCATACGTCTTTATAGTGTTGATCATTAGCAATATAAATCTTCATCATTTTTAGTAGATTAATAACGGAGAAGCAGTGTTTTAAGGCGAATTGAACTAGAAGCTTATTTTTATTTATTCTTTATCTTCTCTCTACTAAAACCAGCACGACCGCTGCATGGCTAATCATATACATTGTGGATAGCTAGGCCACAGAGGAGAAAACCGAGATTATTAAGAAGTTGATTTGTTTATTTAAAGCTGGCTAATATGTAAAGTGCCAATGACGATCTATCATTGATCAAGGCTACTGAACTTGAGGCTATATGTCTTCGGAACGGTCATACTTGATATGGAACGTTGAGTTCCATAAGCCATTCTTTGGTGCTATTCGACCATGGAAAGGGCAGCTTTATATACACCAAGTTTCTCATTTTCATTGTGATAAAGTGATAACCATATGTATTTGTATCATTAAATAATGCTTGACACACCGCTTAGATCAGATATATATATGCACAGAGCTTCGTAATCAGATGGTATCAGGTGAAATGGGATCACACAACCTAAAGTCATGTATATCTTGATTTTCACCAATCTTACGACAAACGCCTCGAAATTCGCGTGGTAGAAGCATGCACGCGCGTGAATGTCGAGGTTTAAGGAATATATACTTATGTTAAAAATGTGGTGCTCTTATGTAGTTTCTGAGAACAGAATTCAGTTGAGAAGGTCTGCGCGATAGGCATAGGCAAAATTCTCTAAAAAATTCTAGTCATAGTACCAATTTCTACGCTTTCACCACTGCAATGGTATCTACGTACTGACAGTTCCCGACTCGTTAGGATCGATATAATAGGCAAGTCAAAACAAAGAACTTTAATTCAAAATGGACATTATAAACGAAATCCTTTAATTATGTTCTACACCATAGGACGAATTCCAATAACACAAAGGTGTAATGTAATCTAATGCCGAGTGCTTTTACCATGAAATACATTTTAAAGCATCGGATTAAATTCATCAATTTCGGCCAGGTATATTCGTCAATCTGGATAAAAGTAAATCTTTTAAGTATTGCTTGACATCCCTGAAATTATCAAGATGGGAATTAAATTTCATTCCCCACCAGGGATTTGAAATTTTATAAAATATTTAGCTGAAAAAAATTATAAGAAACAGTGTGATTGTAAGTTGATAAGGTAAAATATGCTCATTTTTAATTAAAAAGAAATATTCATTTTAGTGTAATTAAGGTAAAGTAAAGTACCCCCTTTACACTTAGCTACGCCTGCAATCATTAATTAGAAAGTTAACTAAAAAATAGAACAAATCCTCTTCCTGTAATATAGATAAATTACATTCTCCAATCACGTGTTAGTAGCCAGAATCCATGGTTTGTATGCTATTTGTTTCCGAAAATCTAATGATGCAACGCTTGTTCACCGCGCCTAACGTGGAAACGCTAGCGCGTAAACTATGTCAGCAATTTTCTCTAAACTAGCTATTCCTCCTTCCCATTCAACACTCCGAGGCTTTGGAGTTTCAGATGAAATTTTATTTTTGAGAGTATATTCATAAGTCTCAACCATTTCAATGATGTCATTTATTCTTTTCAGCTTAGAACAATGCCCGTTAGTATAGCATTAAATGTACTATGACAAAAGGAATTATCCTTTTCGTCTTTTTGTTTTTCATTTTCTGAGGATTTTTATAATGTTCATTTTTTAGCATATTCGTCAATCTTTAATGCCCTTTCTAAGTGTTTAAATATCTACTTTACTGCTTCAAGGTGGATTTAACTTACCTGACTTCAAATAAGATTTACGAGTTACAAGTGGTTCACTTCAGTAGAACTTTCTGATAGCTTTTTTATTTCATCCGCTCAGAAATTGTATAAATGTTTAATGTAATCTAAGGTTTTTCGTATCCCCTTAGCCGTTTTTCGTTTCGGTCAGTTTTGTTGGGATAACTAAAACAAAACATTTCCTTGATAAAGAACAGTCAAATCAAACGTTTGCGAGAGTTCACTTGAACGAGGGAAGAAGCCTCGACCCACCCCGTAGTGTTCTGTTAAAAATATTAGTATATGTTTCTAACAATTGACTATTGCGATACGTTACAAACATTACTGGCCGTGATTAAGGTTAGTAATTTAATAAATAGTTTCACTAAGTTAAGTAAAGTTTTCGTTCATTTAGAGCAATAGTTGGCTAAATAATATGGCATGGAGCTTGTATCAAACAGTATGAATATTCAAAGTTGCGTGTTCATTTTGTGGCTGCGGTGGCAGTTTTCATTGCAGGGTGTCTTGTGGGGGTAATAGGTAAGAGAATAACAAAAAGTCATGTGTTGTAGGTTGATGTCCCAGCAATCTTGATACACATTACCTCTGAAATATGTAAAATGAAGTCTAATATTTTATATTAGACTCTATGTTATACATATTTTTGCCACCATACACTAGTGTGATCCAAAGTATCCGGCACTCGTCAAGATGGTTTATTACGGTGTAGTCGTGTTTTTTCATGAGGGGGCTTGCACCGTTTCTTTCAGTGGTTTGCATTATCACAGTGCAGCTAGCAACAACACCTGGTTTCTAAAACCTTCTTGCTTCCCACTGTTGAAGAGCAATTCAGAGATGGCGATTGTCATCTTTCATCATCAT